CCTGCCCTGCTCTTCTTCCCTCCCTTCCCTATGGCACAAGACAGTCATAGAAATGCATCTTTAAAACAGCAATGAAATGGGGGTTCAAAATCTACCATGCCAGCCAGTTCTCCATGCCTGCAGGAGACATGCGTCAGCGGGCAGCTTATTCAGCAATCACTATATGCCAGCTGCTGGCATTCTTTGTAGAGTCTGGGAACCAGAGATACACACACCCCAAACCCAGCAGGCAAAGGAACAGGTCAAGACAGAGTGCACACAAACCCAAGAATGTGAAAAGTAGATGGGGAGGAATCCTATTTGCAAACTAAAGCATGGGGGTTTGGTGGGAATTTAGTTGTTTTTTCAAAAACTATTTCAGGTTTGTTTGTTTGTTTTTTCCTAATCTCCTCAGTTTGCAGCAAATTCCAGACTAGTACAAAGAGGCCAGATCAACAGCCCCTGGAGACCAAAGTACTAGTTTCTCCAAAAAACAGAAACAATGAGTGCTTATGGAATGTTTCATCTTCAAAGGCCTCCCCAGACATCCTCTAATGAACCAGGCGTGGTGCTCCCGGTAGGTTCCCCAGATGAGCCCTGCCCCTGACCTAGGGCTCGCACCTCAGGGGGGAGGACCTGGCTCAACCTCAGGGCCCAATTTCAGCCGAGTCACTCAATAGCCATTCTCCCTGCCTATCCTGCCTCAACCCACCGAGGCAGAAAGATTCTTGAGGATCCCTGAGGCAGGTGGGGACGCCTGGCCAGCTAACAAGGTCAGATCCCACAAACCTTGGCAATCTGTGGTAGTCAGACTGCTGGTTCTGCTACCATCACCTCCAGAAATTTAAACCTTCCCCATGTCTTCCTAGTTTTCATTCTGTCTCCTGCTCAGGTAGCCTTTCCTTCAGCTCCGAATGACACTCTGCTATAAAAGTTAGGTAATAAGGCTTTGGCCCAGATTATGAATTAAATTTATACGATACATTTATCTTGCTGTCATTCATGATGGGAACTACTGCTGATTAAATTATTACCAACCATGAATACAGCAGTGACTGAAAAATACCCCTTGACCCAGAACATGCATACACTGTCCTGGTTTGCTTCTGGGCTAAGCTATCACACTAAAGTCTTGGTTCAAAAGCTGATCACAGTGTTAAACTTATTTCTATTTCCTGGCAAGCCACATCAAGGCCCCTGAATTATCTGAACGACTCATGTGATACATATCACCTTGTGGAGCTTTTCCCTTCTAAGTCTGTACATTGACTATCTCCCCAATTAACTATGTATTCTCCATGGGCAAGGCTATGCCTTTTATTTATTTTGTACCCGTCCTTACTCCCAATGCCAAGCCCACTGGAGGAGTTCAATCAAGCACACTGGCAGATTTAAGCCCCATCTGAGGATGTCCTTATATCATTTCTTCTGTCCTAGCAGTACTTGGTATCTATGTAATACACAGATGGTTGCTTAGCTATCCTGTCAATTCTTGGCCATTTTCCACACATATCTGACTCTGGGACTAGTTTGGGAAAAGGACTAGAAATCGAAAATTGGTGGAATTTTCTCTTGCCATTTAATACCCAATGAAGCTGATAGATAACTAGCTACCATGTATCTCTTGGGACAGCCCAGGACCTTGAAATCAATGGACACTATGACTCTTCTTTAATATCATCAGCAGCTTCATTCAGATGAACATTCCAAAAGTGGTAGTGGCTTTGTCTTGGCTTTCTCTGTCCCTGCCTGTTACCAGAGAGCATGCTGCCCCTACCACCAAGATGGTAGTAACTTTCAGCTTTGTGGCATGAACACACATCTTTGGCTATATAGCCGATTCTCACTTCAACCATAAAGCATTCCTATAAAAAGCTCTGGGAAGCAGGATGGCAAAAAACCAAACAGACCTCGGATTGTTTCCTTATATATTGTATAGCCTATGGTTACTCTTTTACCACAGATGGCACTCCTGTGTGGATGGGGCCAAATGCCAGGGTTCCGTGGGGAGGTGGAAACTAGGAATCAGCAGTTAAAACTGAAGGTGAGTGGCTCAAGATGAAAAATGGAATACACTAATATCTCTTAACTAAGAGAATATCTCAACATTCTATTTTACAGTCATAAACTTTATTATCAGTGGTAAAAATAATAATTGCTCTAAAAATGTGTTCCAGTACAATCTGTGTAGGACATTGCATGAGTTTAATCAAGTACATTGGCTGATTTAAGCCTCATCTGAGAATGTCCTCACTGAGGACCACTCATTGTCCCCAATCCCCTCACCCAGGAGAGGCAAGCTGTTGCTGTAACTGGCTGCTCAGCCATCTTGGCTTATGTGTGTTGCAGGAACATGCCTGCCTCACTCTCTAGGTGATTTTGAGAGTCACAGCTCAACTTGCCATGCACGCTCCCCCTGCCTGACTCCAGTGACTGGCTCAGGCATGTGTCTTGAGACACCTCTGAGACTCCTGATCTGGTACCACCTCCTCTTCTCCAGGCTGCATGGGTCCAGGGAAAGAAATACCAGAGTCTCCCAAACCCTCTGCTGCCAGGCAGGATGCATCAAAAAGCAGCTTTGCTCCCAGATAATTTTCAAATTGAAATATCACTAATAGAGATGCTATTTTTAGCACAGCCAATAGAGCAGACCAATAAAATTTAAGTAAACAAAAGCAAGGCCTGCCTGTATTTAGTTTCCTTAACGCAGATGGCTTGTGACCTCTATAAACTTTCTAAGTTTTTATCTCAAGAACACTATAATCAGCACACAAGAACTCTTAGATTAGTATCTCAATGATTTCTATTGGACTCAAAGATTTCCCAAAGCCAAAGAATAGCTTCTGATGTCAGCTTCCATCCATTCGTTAAACATTTATTGAGTATACTAAACTAGGGATATATAAAGGACGACAATTTCTGCCTTCATGAAACTCAGTCAATGGGGAAAAAAAAGACTAGTAAACAGAGGACCGCAAAATAGTGTGAGGGTAAGAGTGGGGTAAGCACATACTATTATGGGAACAGAAACCTGGAGCAGTTAATCAAGACTGAGAGGTAAAAGACAATTCTCAGACATGATTCTCAGGTCACACCTGAGCTGACTCCTGAAGGAAAAGTAGGAAGTAATCAGACAATAAAGAAGAGGGAATGGGGCAGAAGGAACAGTGTTTACAAAGACATAAAGACTTGAGTTAGAGATAGCACTTCTTATTAGCCAAACCCAGGTGCGACTGGGAAGTAGTTTATTTGGATGCTTCATGGTGAGTGAAAAAAGAACTGATGAGCCTGGAGAGATAAGCAAGGGCTACATCATGAAGGGCCTTAAAGGCCATACTGAGAAACATGATCAGATATGTGCTTTAGAAACATCATTCTGGTAGCAGTTTAGGGAATAAATTAAAACAGGAAAGAGTAGAGGCAGAGAGAACACTAAGGAGGTACAGTAATACATATGTGCAATCAGAAATTCTTAACCAAAGGCGGCAAGAACAGGACAGATTGGAAACATCAAAATAGTAGAAG